TTGGTGTTGAACAGAATCTGAATCTTGTGTTTTATGCTGACTTAGTGCGGAAGATTTCTAAATTGGTTTCAGCTTGATGAAGGCGTATCTTGCCTTTCCGATTCTGGCTGGCTGGCTTTGGCATCTTCATACGTTGAAACGATGCTTCCTAGATAAGTGGAGGAAGTAACTCCTGTTAAATCTATCCCGTTGATGGTCCTGATAATAAAACATATATCAAAGAAGACTCAGTTATTTGAGAATAAGTTCTGATGAGTAGTATATTTAGATAGAATAAAATATTAAGGTTATTTAAGGAAAGATTTTAGAACTTATCTAATCGGTATAACCTAACTACAGACTCTGAGAATGCGCGTGTCAGTTGAACAGGGGGGCAGTGCAAAACGGCATCTGAGCCTGGTTGTGGGATGCGTACATGTTTAAATAGAACTTAAAACACCTGTAGCATCAGCAGGTTGGTTAGACGTTTATTCACTGAACATTAATATTATACTGATTCAGTTTGATCGTGTTATTTAAGCCCTGGATATATTTTGGTACCATGAAAGAAGTCCTAAATCCTAACCATCTAATAAGAGAATTTAGTACGTACAAAATATCCAAGACATAAGTAGGCTATGTGATGTGGAGGACTTAGTGCGATCATGAAATGACGTCTACTAAAAAGCGATAGAAAGCCTAAGAGTACTGGACAATTAGCAGAACCTACAAGATTAAATATTGTGAAATATTCCCATATCATGAATTTAAAGTCAATTTGAACGAAGAATATTCCTTTTCAATAAGTTGTCGTCTTCAGGTTCTTACAATTATGAAATAGAATATTTCTTGTCGTTACAATAATGGCCAGTTATGTGGCGGATACATTTTATTCAACGTAGAATAACAGATTACCAGTTATGGCGTGTCAAAATAAATAGTCGTATTTGTGTGACAAATGTGCAAGGCTGAAATCGATTACAAAATATTGTGAAATGGCAGACAATGGTAGTGATTAGTCAAAATAGATGTGTAGAGTGTGGGGTAGGAAAAACTGACAAGTCAGTTCATGGTTCGAGAACATTTACCAGCTTGGTTCAAAAAGGGAAAAATAAGTGCATAAAATGCTCGATCCTGTCACCCCTGATCGATACTGGACATCGCATCGACGCCAACACAGCTTTCAGGGTTATATACTGGATTCCAAAGTCGTTATCACGTACAGAGACGTGGACCAGAAGGGTCCATCAAGTTGGATGTGAGTACATATACTCACCAATGACATTGTCTAGCGGTTATGCTTTATATCCCGAACTCATGTGTCATAGGATTTCATCCCGCTGGCTGAATGATCAAACAGCTTGTCCCATGAGGTCTTAAGTTCGATCCCTAATGAGGTCATGGATGCACAGCACTGAAGAGTCCCAAACTAGGACGAAACAGTTATCCAGTATTCCCTAGTTTTTAATGGTTCTCAACCTCCAAACTTAGTAGCTTAGAACTTCTAACGACTCTCAGCGTTGCATAGGTGCCATTCATTGCCATCTTGGTGAGCCAGTTGTCAAAGCTTTTCATCATTAGAATAGTAAAACAACGAAGTAATATCAAGTTATTTGATCTACAGATATTCTATAAAACACGTTCGTGATTATTACAAATAATGACTAATTAGAGTGAGTATTTTAAAATTAGACAAAAGATACTGACAAGGCCTGAAGACACGTATACATACACAATCACAACATCACTAGAATAACACAGTTTACAGGTAATAAATACACGAATGAGTACATTGGTTATAACAAACTTGCCGCGGTTTCATTTCACTATTCGTGGATAGATAGAACACAGGCGGTCAATTATGATTTGAATTTCCTCAGTTACCGTTGGTCTTATGTGTACTTTTGTATTACATGTTTACAAGAACACTGCAGTCATATCAAATGTTAAGTCTACCTGATTTAAAAGTGTTTTATCAACTTGTTTTTCCCACAGCTGGAATATCCACTGTGGTGTTTGCAATATGATGCACGAAAACACCTTGTGGTGACTTTTATCTTCACCCATGTGTCTAAAAATTAAATTCACTGATAATATGAACTTTCTTTTGCTTTTGTTTTTTAGGAAAGGCCTTAAATTTCTTCTTTTCTTATAGTTATTATGTGTTTGAAATACGTGTTGAATTTTCGAAATGAATGATGAACTGGATTCATGTGACTTTATTATCATCTAAGAGTTGACTGTTTATTGATCGAAATCTATCGATCACTGTTTAGACAATCTTATTTTGATGTGTCTAGTCGTCTCTTTGGTGCAGACTGAATTCTATCAGTCAGGTTGTAATGTGGCCGATTGCCTCCAACCAACTGATATATCATCAAATCAATGTGCACCGTGATGGCGAGCTACCTAGAATGGTGGCCACATTACAATCTGACTGATAGAATTCAGTCTGCACCAAAGAGAGGACTAGACACATCACACTAGTTACTAGTGTCGGATCAAAATATCCACTACAGTCCTACAGGAGGTCAATCGCAAGCCCGGATAGTTAGCTCAGTGGTAACGTCTCTGACTGCAGTTCTCACTGGGTGACGTGGGTTCGAATCTGAGAAGGGACATGAGTTCCTTCAAGGTTGTAGATACACCTTGCTGACTGGTGAGTGCCAACTAGCACGAAACCTGGGTCCAAGGCTTCCTGCTGATTGCCTCCAACCATCTAATATCATGAAGACAATCTTATCCTTATAAACATGAGATTAATCTAAGTCTGTATATCTGTCGTAATCACTAACCATCCATTGTACCTATCAGTAAAGTGAGTAAGGACATGTGATTCATTCCTTATGCATACAGGGTCGAACATTAACTAACGAAGATCCTGGTAACTAATCAATATTATTAGCCGTCATGACTCATCATTAAGTGCATTTACCATTGAGCTTCAATACAGTGTCATATTATTCATTATTATTGACTTCCTTAACCAGACAACCGTCTCATCGACTTAGAGTATGCGGATAATGTTGACCTCCTAGGAGAAGATGCTGAGTCTTCTAAACACACTGAGCAGAATACCTTCAAATGTTTGGAATGCGATTAGCTACTCTCAAATGCGTAAGATACTGCTGCACGACTGGACTACACCCACATTTCTAGTTTAAAGATAGGCAGTGAAAAGTTGTAGAAAGTGTTCACCACTTCAATGATTTGGGCAGTTGCTTCGGCTATAATGGACTGATTGCCAACGGAATCTTAGCATACATGATTTTCATAGGTCAAACGATGTGTGTACTGCACACCAATTCGCTTTGTTGCAGCTAAAGATGTTACCCATCTTTGACTACAGATGTTTGCGCCCATTTCCCATGTTAAGTGGCATGATATGATGAAGAATACTGAGGCTATCCATAAAGAGAGCTAGGTAAGGAGGGCTGGCTACTCAATCAATGTGGTTGTGAATCTGCATCGACTAAGAAGACGTGTTACATAACTCAAGGCACCGCCTTTCTCGACGAGCAACGTTACCCAACATAACATTAAGTTGGGAAAAAAATTAAAGGTGGTCAAACCAAAATCTGACATCAGTCCATGAAGTCGTTGACAACTGGTCTGAGCCAGTCACGTGAGGAGCTGCGAACTAGCTGGAGTCCCCGGGATGAGAACTCGACGGATCTAAGGGATCACGAAGACTGTTTGCATCAGTGCCATTGAGAACGATTTTAAGGCACATCATCAACAGTCTCCAGACATCGGTTCTTAGCATCCCGAAGACCTCAGCCAGACAGTTTACAATTTCCTACGTGACTGGCTCAAACCAATTGTCCAAAACTTCATGAATTAAGGATGCCGAAACTCTTCTGAAACCAGTCAGTTCTATGTCAGCTAATATTACTTGATGAGGAAAGCGTAACACGTGTCCTACCCATCTCAATCACGATCCAGCTTCATAACCTCATCAACTGACTTGTCGTCTATCTTTACGGCTAACCTTAGTATTTCTGACCATATTACGCCACCATCTAACATGACAGCCGATGACTTATGTTCAATGTCAAACAGACGCGAAGACTTACAGGCGAAAACCAAAAAACTGGCTGAAGAAGCAGCGAAGACAGGACTCCAGGTGAACATAGTGAAGACGGAGGTGATGAAGACAACCAACCGACAGGACCAATAGCAACAGGTACCAATCACCATCGACGGGAGGAATTTGAAGGAGGTCACTTCCTTCAATTATCTACGAAACATCGTTTCAATCAAATGTGGAAGGGATGTTGTGAAAGCCAGAATCGGAAAGGCATCCAATCTGAAACCAGTTTGGAAATCTTCTGTACTCAGCTAGCATCAAGAACAAGATTCGGATTCTCAACACAAATGTGAAGCCAGTCAGTCAGTTCTTCTGTATGTGTCAGAAACTTAGCGTGTGCATCACGAAAAAGATTTCCAACAGGTTATAGACTTCCATTATTAGGTACCTTCTCTGGCTCAGTACTGAAGATCAAATGGCCTGCTGGCCAGAAAGAATTAGCGACAAGGAACTCTGCAGTGGAACAAACCAACCAGGAGCCAATTGCTCAACAAATATGCAGGAGAAAATGGAGATGGATCGAGCATACTTTGTGGAGGCCGTCGAATGACCCTTGACTGGAATCCAAATGGAAAGCGGCGAGTGGGTCCTCCTAGGGTGACATGGAGGAGATCGTGTGCCGATGAGAGATTGTGGGCAATCGAGAACCCAGCTGAAGAGGGTGGCAGAAGATAGGACAAAGTGCAGATGTGTTGTCGAAGCTCCATGTTCCACTCGGAACCCCATGGAATAATAATAAAAATAATAACACGAGAGATGGAACGCAGACACTGGATAATGTGTTCATCATCCAGACGAACTCTAAAACTATGGTCAAACGAGAACTTCTTTGACGATCGATTAATTTTGTTGTTGTAAACATCCAATATCTAATAACAAAGTTGAACAACATCACAGTTACAAATACAACACAATCCAGTAAAAACACAATCGCTTTAAGCTTTATTTATTTCTCCATCTGTGGGTGAGGAAGACGGGAAAGAAGTGAGGGATAGAGTGTGCAAATCACTCCCTGAAGGTAGGATAAATGGAAGGAGAGAGGAGAAAAGGAAGGGAGTGTGTGAGTGCCTGCGTGTGTGTATGGAGAAAAACGGAAGTAGAATATTGTAAAAATGATACAGTGATTGAAATAAAGAAAGAAGGATGAACGAAATAACAAATACCTTAAACTTTGACTCACACATACACACACACACGCGCAAAAGATAACACGTGAGAAGACAAATTTTAATTATGGATTAATGATAGTAATAATGGCAACAGAATGAGGTCAATCAGTCAATCAATCAATCAATCAACACAGCACAATAGTAGTGTGTACACACATTTGATGAAATTAATTATACATGAATTTCAGGCGGTGATGTTGAAGAACCACCACCACCACCACCAGTCAGTTGGGGCAGGAGACTTGTAGATTTTGATGATGGCGGCGGCGATGACGACGGGGGAGGTGGTGAGGGTGGTGATGTTTGAGGTGAATTTTTTGGCGGTTTCATTTTACCAGCTAACACAGCGACAACTTCATCTTTTGTCAATGTTTCAAAGTGTAGTAATGCTTCAGCCAATAATTTATGCTGTTTACTATGACTTGATAGTAGGTTGCGTACACGAGTCAATGATTCGTTGAGCAATTGATCTACTTCTTTATCGATAAGATCACGTGTTGTTTGACTTAGCTGACCATCATCACGAGTATCTGGTATAACTCTTGGGCCTAGTTTACTTGAAAAACCGAAACGCTTGACCATGTTTTGAGCTAAAGCGGTAGCTTTCTGTTATATGAGGGAGGGAAAAAGACAAAGCAAACATTGTTTAAATGATGAGACAGTTCTATAATTGGAACTGATGCAATGAAAATAACCACATACACAAAAGGTATTCAAAACAAAACAAAAAAAAAACACCTGGGATCAATGAAGTGAGAATTTCAACTAAATTGTGACAGACTACATCTAACTTCAATGGTCACTGAAAAGATAGGCACAAAGGCTCAAATACGATAATCAAGTTGCACAAATCATAAACCATAAATGATCCACAGTACGTTGCTGGTGAGTAGAATTCAGTCCTCCTCTCGAAATGCACTCATGCTGACACGTGTTAATAATCCATTTCTGCAAGGTAAGTCCCATTCACTGCCGCTTAAAAGTGAATGTTTGGTGCTTAAAACCAAACTAGTGGACATGTCACTCTAACCAGGGGAGTTGGAAAACCCTCGTTCAAAATCCATATTGTACTGGGGTTCCAGAATCCGAACTGACAGAATGGCACATTAACCTGTTCCGATTATCACCGGAAACCGCAGAAACGTAGCTCCTGACGCTGGTCCACTTTCTTGTGGATAAGACTTTAAGTGGAAGGCTCTGGAGGTTTCAACTACAGGCAGTCGGAACGGATGAAGATGTCAAAGCCAGCCAGCCAGCCAGAATCGGAAAGGCAAGATACGCCTTCATCAACCTGAAACCAGTTTGGAAATCTCTTGCACTCACTCAGCTGGCATAAAGAACAAGATTCGGATTTTCAACACAAATGTGAAGCCAGTCAGTGCTTCTATATGGGTGTAAAACCTGGCCAGTGTGTCACGAACTGGATTTCCAACAGATTGCATAACTTATCAACAGCTGACTTCTCGGGCACTATACTGCCGGTCAGAAAGAATTAGCAACAAGAAACTCTGCAGCGGGACAAACTAATCAAGAGTCGACTGCTCAACAAATATGTAGGAGAAAATGGAGATGGATCGGACACACACCAAGGAAACTTTGGGTGACATTGTGCTCAATGCAGGCCGTCGCTCGAGTGGAACCCAAGTGGGCAACGACAAGTTGGGCGTCTGAATGTGACATGCAGGAAATTATGCGAGAAGATGAGAGACTATGGGGGCAATCGTAATACCAGGTAAAGAAGACCGCGGAGAATAACAAATAGTGGAGATGTTCTCTCGGGACCCGAGAGAACAATAATAATAATAGACACTGTTAAAAATACAACTTTCTCTCAAAAAACATAAAATCGAGAATATATTTCTTAAAAATTTCTAATTTCTTAGTTCAAAAAAAAACTATTGACCAGTTCGTTAGCATATATTCAACAACGAAAAATATAAAAAAAATAGTAACACTTACTTGGAAGTCATTTGCCGCACCAGTTGTCACTTTATCTGTCCCAAAAGCCAGCTCTTCACCGACACGACCTCCCATCAATACATCTAATTGAGCTAAAAGTTGTGCACGTGTCATAAAACTCATATCTTTCTCTTGCAGAAAGCTTGTAAGACCACCAGCTTCACCGCGGGGAATAATTGTCACCTATTTAAAATAACAATAATAATAATAATAATAACAGTAATCCAGTGTGAACAGAAAATCAGTGCGATAAGAGTATTGATTTACATGTGATGACAGTGTAAAGCAAAAGAATCGCTATTTGTTAGATACTATGCTGACATCACGTGCAAGGCAAATGAAATGTACTTCTCGTTTAGTGGGATTTCGTCATCACATAATATGATCTTGTATCTACTGCACTAATAATAATAATAATACATGAATGACATGAATAGCAAAGAATCTTATCCCTAACAATAATCCATCATACAACCAACCGGTTTCCTTTGCTAATTATTATTCAAAAATATGATCCATCAGCTTAATGAAACTAACAGATAGAACTCCACCTATTACATCGATTGGCTACTACTAATGAGAGCCCTGGCTGACAACTGCTACCTTTTCGTGGTAGTTGGGCTTGGATACCGTTATTATTACTGTTCCCTTGGGTTCCTAGTGGAACATAAGGCTTCAACTACCCGCCTCCACTTGTTTCTGTCTTCTGCTGTACTTTTCACTTGCATCCATGTTACTCCATAGTGTTTCAACTCCTCTTCACACGATCTCCTCCATGTCACCCTTGGACGTCCCACCCACCGCTTCCCTTTCGGGTTCCACTCGAGCATTAGCCAGACGCGCGATGTCACCCAGCGGCCTCGTCAGCGAGTGTCCAATCAATCTCCACTTTCTCCTGCATATTTGTTGGGCGATTGATTCTTGTTTTGTTTGTTCCCATAGTTTCTTGTTGGTGATTCTTTCCGGCCATCTGATCTTCAGTATACAGCGAAGACAGTTGTTGATAAAGTTCTGCAACAGGCTTTTGGAAATATTCTTTGTGACCCACGAAGTCTCTGATCCGTATAGAAGAACTGACTTGACGTTTGTATTGAAAATCCGAATTTTGTTGTTGATGCTGAGTGACGAGGATTTCCAGATTGGTTTCAGGTTGATGAGTGTGTTTCTCGCCTTTCCGATTCTCGATTTGACATCCTCGTCGTCCGTTCCTCCTGTAGTTGAGACAATGCTCCCTAGATAAGTGAATGAAGTAACCTCTTTCAAATCCCTCCCGTTGATGGTGATTGCCGCTGGATGTTGCTGTTGTTGTTGTTGTTGGTTGGTTATTTTCATAACCTCCGTCTTGTCTATGTTCACCTGGAGTCCTGTCTTTGCTACCTCTTCGACCAGTTTGTCAGTTTTCGGATACCGTGGTGACCCAAAAAGTTATACTGCCTAGGACTTATGTTCCTACAGGTCCTACTACCATGTCAGGAAGGTTGTTTGGATAGCGGTTAGACTAAAAGCAGTTACTGCGGTGTAGTGCATGGGCTCCAGAATCCAATCGGATCAAATGGCGTATGAACCTGTATTGGTGGTCACCGGCATCCATGGGATTGTAGCTCCTGACGCTGCCTTGCAGATTAGACACCATGTCAAAGGCTCGGGGGAGGGGTGATCCCTTAAGACAACTACCTGCTTCGGTCTGGGTGCCCGGGCAGTAATCCCAGTCCTCAAACAATCAATAGAATGAAACAACGAACTACTAGTGAGTGACCTTCATACTATCCCTGACTAGGTAGATTTTTCAAGGTCTTTCAACACAACTATTTTGTACATAAGTGCAACAACAGGTCAGTTCGCCACACTTCATATAACACACAAAAATAGAGAAAACAGATTAAAAAGAGGTATAATACAAGCAGAAATGTACGGGAGAAAGCATAGTATTATATGGGAAAACATGAGAGTTGTTAATGGATATGGGAGATTACAAGCGAGTAAATGCATGTACGCCATTGAGTACTACTACTTTGAGCCACATCACCGATAGTCTCTCCAGCCATTCGTTGGTTCTTAGCATTTCGAGGAGGCCAACAAATCGGCATCTACCTACACCACTACTCGATCAAACCAACCGTCAAAGACTTTATATACTGATACTTCTAATTTTTTTCCAATTTAATCCTATGTTATCTAACATTATTTATAGAGTAAAAATGTAGCTCGGAACACATAACATGTTTCCTAGTCATCTCAATAGACTTAGTTTCAAAATCTTATCAATTTACTTACCCGCTCCCTTTACCTGACAATATACGCCTAACCTCAATGTTATTCACCATATTATACCACTTAGTCGACCCGGACAAACTGTCCTCCGTCGGTGGCACAGCAGTAGAATGCTCGCCAACCAAGCAGGTGGTCCGGGGTTCGATCCCCGGTCACCAACGCACTCCTTTACCTCGCTAACCCAGTAATAAGACTGGTAAAGAGGGAAGGTTGGGCATGAGGCTAGCAACCCCATCCATCCTGTAAAAATAAACACCACTGCTACGGAAATTTCAAGCCTCTAGCTTGAAGCCACTCTATATTCCACTGGGAACGTACAGGAATAAAAAATTTTTAAAAAAAATATTATACGACTTAACGCGGTGATAAGATGCAAACATTACCTATGGTCGAAGACGACTAGCCTTTTCATATCTTCCAATTTCAATGGTTATGTCTCACAATCACCCAGGAGGATAAAGCGAACTGGTACACATACAGTACAACATACACGTCCTTAGATGGACAGTTGTCTACGCCATAGATAACGGAAGTTGGCAAATGCCACACGCGCCTTCAGTATCACCTATTGAGATTTCGTCAGTGTGCCGTCCATTAAATCTGATACAACTTCTCAAATAAGTAAAGTGCTCAACACGCCCTACACCACTTTATTCTCTATCTTGAAGCTGGAGTAAAGTGCATAATTGCGTTTACACATACAGTTTATTTTAAGTAAATATATGATATTTAAAAAAAGGATATTTAGATAACCAAGACCAATCACATACTTTGTGTAACGGTGTACTTTCAGCGGTTAACAATGCCACTAATGCATGACCAGCTTCATGAAAGGCTGAAACACGATTAGTCTGGTCATCTAAAGGTCGACGTTTAGCAGGTCCCATTATCAATCGATCACGAGCTTCCCATAAATGATGCATTTCAACAACAGGATCATTGTGTAAACCAGCAGCGATAGCAGCCTAAAACACACATATAAAAAAACAAACAGATAACATGAAGTTAGCATTAACTCTAAACTAAAGAAAGAAGCTTCTATAATTTTTTCATTGGAAGCTAGGATCATTTTATGCAATATAAGTATAGGGGTTTTTAAATGGAATACTCAGTCAGAAATTCTTTTGAGTACTGTTGAATGCAAAATTATAAAAGGAAGGGATTCATTTATATAGAGGTATATCTAGAAAAGTTTGATAAACATAAATAGGCTGCATGCAGCTGATGAGAATCAACGAAATATTAGATGGTCGGAGGCAATCAGCAGGAAGCCTTGCTTCACCTAGGTTTCGTGAATGTTGGCACTCACTCACCAGTCAGCAAGACACATCTGAAATCTTGAAGGAACTAATGTGTCCCTTCTGAATCCATACTATTTTGCAGCAAATGTTGCTCTATCTTTGTTCAAAAGTAATCACTTACACGAGAACCGAAAGAACCAGCTATTCTTCTTATAACTCACTCCACTTGACTCGTCAACTGCACACTCTCCGGCGAAAAAAAGCTGAGTCACAGCTGTTATATTGGAGATCAAAACTATTCATGACTGACTGGTTTCAACGTAGAACTTTGCACAGATGTGCAGCTGTTATGTTGGATATGTTACCGGCTAAACGGCAAAGATGCTGTTTCCATGACTGCTAACATCATAACAGAATATACTGCTGGTCAGTATGAACAGTGGAGAAACATCCATTTCATCAATTAACAGCGCCAGGCAGACAGGCAGAAATTATCAAAACATCAATCCAAAACCCTACAAAAATTTACAGTCTAGATACCCATCTCCAGCTGATTGATGATGGCTACTGGATGAATGTCCTGAAGTTGTGTAGTGAGAAGTTGTGACCACTGGGGTCCACAATGTGAAGATGAAGTGAATACTAATGTAAGGCACTGGTAGAGAACAACGCTACATCACGAAATGGTGTGGTGACAGCTGTCTCCTAGCCAAAACTGTAGACAACAATTTACATCAACGTTTACGTCCCAAATCTTGGTCAGAAGAGAAAACAAGAACAAAGCCTAACCTTGAGGAACTCAACAACCAATCACAGCAGACTTAGCGTGGGCGGATACGATTCGCAGATATATCACTGGACTGTCTAAGAAACGGTCACAAAGAGATGACAGAGTAACCTTCAGCAGGAAAACAACCAATCAGAAGACGTTGCTTCTATGCTAACAATAACGAATAGTAATAATGTACATAAAAATCTATGAATATATATCTTGATTTTCTCAATAAACGATCTGTTGCCTGGCCCCTGTCTTCAGTCGTTACAATGGCAAGGTTCGAATTTATGGATCATTGAATTTCGGCCTAAATGGCTTGGTTTCATAACCTGAAGGTCCCGGGTTCACTTCCTGGTAGGGGGGGGATCGTAGGTGTGTAGTGCTGCTCAAAAGTTCCAAACCAGAGTGAAACAGCTAGCTGTCCAGTGCCGCCTTGTTTTCAATAATCTCTGACTGAGGCTGGTTCGTGACGAAATCCAAATTGTAATGAATCGAAATCCCTGCAAAACACCCACAATTTAGAGTTATTCTGTTTGTTTTAGACCAAGGTTATTGGTGATGGACTGAAATTTATTCAGTTAAGAGAACCGCTCAGTGTTTAGATCGCTGGCAAGCAGCATCATTAACCAGTCAAAATGATTTTGAACCAGTCATTTAACTTTGACCTAGATTTGTTTGAATATATATCATGCCGTACGGAAAAGACAGAATGGTTTCCTTTTGGGTTTTTACCTTATTCTTATCACGCTTATGTGAATGATGACTATATATTTACTTTTTTTTAGTTGCATAGTTTCTATCTTAGTTCATCAGCGTTTAAAATCACTGTACAGAGAGAGATATCGCAAACTTCTAGGCCTTAATATGATTGAAATGAAACTGTTGTTTTATTATTATTATTATTATTCCCTTAGGTTCCGAGTGGAACACAGCGCATCACCAGTAAACTTCCATTGCTTCCTGTTCTCCGCAATCCTCTTCAGCTGGCCCCCACAACTGTTCATGAATAAGCTCTCTCACCTACTTCTCACACACGATTTCTTTCATACCATCCTCGGACTCACGTCCAACTCATCATTTCTCATTCGGGTTCCACTCGAGCGACGGCCTGCATTCAGCGCGATGTCACTCAACGGTCTCCTCAGTGTGTACGCAATCCGTCTTCATTTTCTTCGGCATCTTCTGTTGGACAATAGATTCCTGATTGGTTCATCGCCGGAGCTCCTTAATGATTAATTTTTTTCTGATCTTCAAGTATCTGTCTCGCTTTCCGATACTGTCTGGCCTTGACATTAATCATCTGTGCTGCCGCCTGTAGCTGCAATGATGCTGTCTAGATAAGTGGAAGAAGTGGCTTTCTTTATATTTCCAACTACTTATCAAGTATTGGTTTTTTGTAGGGATTTTGTTTGATTGGTTGGAGGATTTCATCATGAGCTGACATCGGCTAGATAACCATTTGAAAACCTGTTGAAGAACCCCAAATTCGGACGAAACAACTGTCTGGCAGTACTCCCAGGTGATCCATTGGTTCTCTAAGCGATATCAGTTCATGATGAAATTCTCCAACCAATACTGACTACCACTTGTTACTGTTTTCTCTAATGTTCCACTTGAAGTCAAATCTGCGCTGTCTACCTATTCTGCCAACTTGTTGGTAATCACTTGTAGATCTTTGAGTTTATGTGACATTAGACATAAAAAACTGTCTACCAGGTCAAAATTTTCTAAAATCTTTTTGTCTGAAACAGCTATTATTTGGATTTAAACTCGCAATTCGCAAATTACACAACTCTAGGTGGAAATCCATTATAGTTTCCACTGAAAAAACTAAAAGTATTCGGATAAAAATACGTGATCTGCTTAATACCATTAGTAGTAATCAAGAAAATATGTAAGACTATGAGATGATATATGTTGATATTAGAAATGAATGCCTTCAAGGTTGCAGATACGCCTTACTTACTGACGAGTGCCAACTAGCACACGAAACCTAGGTCAGCAGACTGGGCTTCCTGCCGATTGCCTCCAACCATCTAACATCAACAATTCAAAATACATCGTGACAGCGAGCCACCTAGCTTAATGGTAGCCACATTGCAAAACTGACTGATAGAATTCAGTATGCACTAAACAAAGGCCTAGACACATCACACTAGTTACTAGTGTCCAATGAATGATGTTTACTGCTAACTGATATGAGCAGTTGTGGGGGGAGGGTTGGCACTCATCATGTTAATGCCAGCAGCACCTGATAACCCGCCAGACAGAAGTATAATCCAAACACTCAACGGCCATTTCTCCAGATCAGGTGGTTTGAACTGATTTCGACTTTGAATTGAGTCAAACAGAGTACACCGCTGATAACCTCGGCTTCAAACAGTCGTCTGGTGCTTGTAGCACTTTGATCTGGCTAGCAAACGTTGTTAGTCGACGTGGATACTATCCGAATACTCATATCAGTCAGTAGTATATACCTCTCTACATACAATATTATTATTGTTTCCTTTAATTCCTAGAGGAACATAGGGCTTCAGCTGCACGTCTCCAATGCGTCCGGTTCTCTGCTTAAGTTTTCACCTGGCTCCACGTCTGTCCACATGCTTTCATCTCCTCTTCACATGACCTCCCCCAAGTCACCCTTGGATGACCAACTCGCCGCTTCCCTTTCGGGTTCCACTCGAGGGCTTGTCTAGTGATGTCACTTGATGGTTTCCTCAGAGTATGGTGGCCAATCCACCTCCATTTCTTCCTGCCTATTTGTTTCACAATTGGTTCCTGGTTGGTTCGCTCCCAGAGATCTCTATTGTTGATCTTTTCTGGCCTGCCATCTGATCTTGAGTAGTATTGAGCGAAGGTAGCTGTTGATGAAGGTCTGTATTTTGGTTGAGGTACTCTTTATGACGCGCCAAGTCTCTGATCCCTATAGTAGCACTGACTTCCCATTGGAGTTGAAAATCCGGATCTTATTTTTCATGCTGAGTGCTGTTGACCTCCACACAGACTTGAGAGTAGTGAAAGCTTGTCTTGCCTTTTCCGATTCTTGCTTTGATATCCTCATCAGTTCCGCCTGTAGTTGAAACGATGCTTCCCAGGTAGGTAAAGGAGGTTGTTTCTTTCAGGTTCCTCCCATTTATGCTGGTTGTTGCTGTTGGTGGTGTTGCCCAGGAATCTTAATCACCTCTGTTTTCTCTATGTTCACCTGAAGTTCTATCTTCTCTGGATGCTTCTTCTGCCAACTTTTTGCTTTTCGCTTGCATATTTTCCTGTTTGTGGGAAATCAGACATATATCATCGGCGAAGTCCAGATCCTGAAAGTTTTTTGTGTGAGGGTCCATTTTATGCCTGTTTCCTCGCTGCCCGCCGCTGTCTGTCGCATTATCCAATCTACCGCAATCAGGAAAATCATTGGCGATAGTAGGCAGCCAGCTTGTCTTACTCCCGTCTTCACTTCTTCGAAGGATTCCGTAAGTTTCCCGTTGTGCATTACTTGGCGATATCATTATTTGACCGGAATTTTGCTCACATAAGTTCATCATTCCAGTGGATGGGTCGTCAAAGTGCATAAGCAGACAGATACACTTAGCTACTTATTCTGTAAAAGAACGTTTCAGTTAGCAGGCTGATAGAATAAATATCCCAAATGTCAATATTACTTTTGCGGAGTGAAACTAAATTCACTCCTAAAGTCATTTTTTCATGAGAACCCAAACAGTATAAAAACAACTTTAGTTGTAGTTTAACTATCTTCATGGAGTGGACGAGTGAAGTAACGAAGCAAATGCAAAATACATTGTGGGAAAAACTTTTTTAACAATGAAGATAAAAACCTACTTGGTTGACTAGATTCTGTATATCTGCACCTGTGTAGCCAACAGTTCCATGAGCCAGTTTTTCAACGTCGATATTTGGACCGGTTTTCACCTTGCGTAAATAAAGATTGAGAAGAGCCAGTCTGCCCTGGAATACAAAGTGGTTTTTTTTAAAAGCGGCTAAAGATATTTTTTTTCTTAAGCATGAATAAATACGGTGTCATTTTAGTGCTATTCAATCCAGTATAATCTAATAAAGCTGTCTGGGTTGCGCAAACCATGCGACTTCTTGGTTGAAAGTCAAGAGTGCAAACGATTGATCCACAGTTGAGTATAACGTTGAAGCTATCCATAACCTCTCGTTGATTTCTTAGTATCTAAGCAGGAAGCTTGTCATCTGAACTGGTGATAACTAGTAGTTTCCGTCAGGGATGCCCACTATCCCCATTTCTATTCAATTTCATCATATATGTACCAATGAAATTAACTCTAAGTGAATTCAGCGACTCAGGGATTGACTTGTTAAGAAGGAATAATCTCGTTGTCTCAGAATATGCAGATAATATAGTCCTTCCAGGTGAAGACGCTGACAAAATGCAGAGTCTTCTGAACACCTTGAGTTGCGATCTGAGAATGTTTGGCATGCAATTCGCTTCCGCCAAATGTAAGATGATGAGGCTACAGGGCTGGACTACATTGACTCCTGGCTTGGAAATAAGTTGCGAAGTGGTAGAGCGTGTTGACCACTTCACTTATTTGGGAAGTTGCATCAGCTAACGCCAGTGGGTGGATCGCTGACGAAATCTTAGCACGGATACAGAAGGCTAGTTTCGCATATGCCAGTTTACGTTGTCTCTGGCGTAGACGTGATATCCGGCTATCGATCAAAGGACGAGTGTACTGCTCAGCAGTCCGCTCCACCCTCCTTTATGAATGTCAGTGAGACATGCACATTGAGAGTGGAAGACTTGAAAAGATTAGCTGTCTTTGATTATAGGTGCCTGAGTTCTATCTCTCGTGTTAGGTGGTATAATAAGGTGAGCAATATTGAGGTAAAGCATAGGTCAAATGCTAGATAAGGAGGGGAAATCAACAAACGAGGCTGTAAAGTTACATCGACTGACATGGTTAGGACATGTGTTACGCATACATTCCTAGTCATCGCCTTCCTCGACAATGAGCAATGCTTGCTGACATAGAATTGATCAAGCTGGAAAAGAGCTAGCGGTGGTCAAACCAAAACATGGCTCCATCAGTGAATGAAATCCACAACATTTAGTTTAAGCCAGTTACGTAGGAAGGTGTAGGCATCCGGTCGGGGTCCTCGGGACGGCATAAACCAATGAAGGCTGGAAACAATTGGTGATATGGCTCAAAATCGTTCTCAATGGCGCAAATGTATCCACTCCTTGTGATTTATAATATTCAATAAAACTATATGGTTCTTCCATATTACTATTCTATTCGCCTCATATCTCTGTTTACTGTCTCTATTTTGTTTTTTTTTACTTTCTTCTCTTGCTTTGTATGCTACATGGAGTGTGGTGACTCGAACTGCTGTACACATCAGTGCAAAGTTCTATGTTAAAATCAGTCAGTCAAGCCGGGAACTTTAAGTTATGTAAGATATCAAAACCCAGTAACTCTAAGCTAAGCTGTCATAAACCAAAACTGAACATGATAATGTGCAAATCGTAAAAAATGTAACCAATAAACACCTTTGAAATATGATTATTTGTGTATTTACCCGAAACGGTCTCTAAGGAAATTACTTATCTGAGATCACAAAAAGTAGCTGTTTGCTCTGGCACTCACCATCCGACTGGCGGACATAGAGGGTTCATCTAGATGGGTTAGAAAACCTGAGTATGTATACGTTAATCTTCCCGTGTGACAACAAATAAACTATGCGAATGCCAACTAATTAGTTGGAGATTAGTGTGTTTAAGTATGGTATTTGCTTAAAACCGTTAAAGTGCAAAGTAGTGTGGCAAGGTTGGCACTAGCCTGCACTCACATACCCTAAAAGGTTAGCTATTACATGTAGAAATGTTCACATATCTAGGTAATGTGAATACTGATGTTGTAGGGTGAAATTGTCAACCATAAAATGAAAGTCAGCGTGGAACATACTAAGTTCAGTTGAATCTAGAGTCGTCGCTGTGTTATTCTGGACCGTTAAACGTCAACCTTACGAAGCTTCAGTATGCAGTCCCACTCTAAGTTTGCAAAACCCGACCTTCCTGAACTTATTTGTGAGAACTTTGAGTATTCCATTATTGCTGTATTCGCAAAACTGCCTGAGTCTGGTGACATTACTGTGCAGTGCACCTCTTGCTGCCAATAACATGCCAAGTATGTTTTAAAAATTTAAAAAAGTGTTTTTTACACATAACAATAAGAACAAAGACGTAACATAACACTGCACTAGTTCGATTTCTTCACACTTCAAAGCAGGACACAAAAAAGAAGAGAACATGGATAGAAAAAAGTTTGACAGAGAGGAAAATGGTTAAATTCAGAGTAACTACAGTGTTCAGAAATTCGAGGATGATGGACCATGGCATCCGATTCCTTGTGGAGATATGGGTCACTGGCTTAGACACTTGACAACCAGTCAGCAGGTCCTGAGTCCGAGTCGAATCCAAGTGATTTCAGTTTATGTAAATGGATAATATCACTAGCCGTCACATAATCCTTAGGGTTTATAACCTGATATATGAAAAACCGGCTCCGGGTAACTAAGTTGCATAGAAATAATAAACAGCTGATTCTTAACATCACGACGACACCAGCCGTAAAATTCTTTTTTTCTTTAGCCATTTAGACTAACAATCAATGGACACAGATTAGTCTCACGTCTTATTTAATTCATACCAACTGCAAATTATTTGATTCACTTTGTATTGAATAAGTCACTTAATGCTACATATATATAACATCGGCCGATAACTGCTGTTGTTTCTAAATTAAGGGTAGAGTAACAGGATCTTAATCGTCAGGTTTCAGAAGTGTTCAGTAATGCTGGCAACGAATTACTAACTAAAATAACCGAGATTCCAGTTAGTGTAAAAGAGACTCTGACAGTTCTTTGGGATGGGTAATTGGTAATTAAAGTCTATAAGGAAAAGAAAACCGTTTCCTGGGATCAGGTCAGTCGATCGGTCGGTTTTCGACATAGAACTTTGCACAAAAGTGCAGCAGTTCAAGTCGCCACACTCCATGTAGCACACAAAGGAAGAGAAGATAGTAGGAGAAATGCATAATATAGACAGCAAACAGAGGTGTGAGACAAAGGAATAGTAATAACGAAGAAGAAAACAGTTTCATTGGAAATCATAAGTCACAATGAGTGGATGCATCTGCGCCACTGAGAACGATTTTGAGCCATGTCACCAATTGTTTCCAACCATTGGCCTTTTCCGTCCCGAGGACCCCAACCAGGAAGTCTACACCTTCCTACGTGGCTTAGACTAACTGTTGTAGATTTCATTAACTGGTGCCATGTTTTGGTTTGACCGCCGCTAGCTCTTTTCCAGCCTGGCCCTATATCAGCTAACATTGCCCGTCGAGGAAGGCGATGACTAGACATACGTAACACATGTCCTAACCATCTCAGTCGATGTAACTTCAGTCTCGTCAACTGATTTCCCCGCCTTACCTAGCACTCGATGCCTAACCTCAATATTGCTCACCTTATTATACCACCTAACATGGGAGACAGAACGCAGGCACCTATGATCAAAGACAGCCAGCCATGCTTCTTATGTCTTCCACTCTCAATGGCCAGGTCTCACAGCCATAAAAGAGGACGGAGCGGACTGTTGAGCAGTACACACGCCCTTTGGTCGATAGTCGGATATCACGTCTATGCCAGAGACGGCGTAAACTGGCATATGTGAAACAAGCCCTCTGTATTCGTGCTGAGATTTCGTCGGAGATCAACCCATTGGGGCTGATGGTACTTCCCAAGTAAGTGTAGCGGTCAACTTGCTCTACCACTTCACTTCCTATTTCTAATCTAGGTGTCGGTGTAGTCCAATCCTGCAGCATCATCTTACATTTTACAGGGGCGAATGGGATAAGGTGGTCAGCATGACTAATATTAATGGAAGATCCTAGGGTCCACAATCTTTTGAAGACTGAAGTGAGCTCGAAAAAATCAAGAGCAGAAGAATTAGGAATGCCTCAAAGCAGAATGGCAGTACAAGAATGAAATAACAGACAGGCATAGAGACATGTTATTTACCATCAGGTTTATTTGACAATTAGTAGAAATTAAAACCCAGTTATCAAACTATAACAATTTCTGGGGACAAATTATATAATAATAACAACTCATGTAATAAATCACACCTATTTTTCATGGTAAGTGTGGAAGGGTCTAATTCCATAGACCTACTCTATTTAAAAGTCAACAATCTAGTATTCAGGACTGGACAAAGATGCGATAACTCACTTCATAGGTTGGTGGAGATACAAAAATCTGGACATCAAAACGGCCAGGTCTCAGTAAAGCTTTGTCTAAATCCTCTGCTTGATTTGTTGCACCCAAAACGATAATGCCTTCCGTTGACTGAAAGCCATCCATTTCTGCAAGAAGTTGATTTATTGTTTGATTTGCATACGGATGATGAGGTGACGATGTTCTATTTCTACCAACAGAATCAATTTCATCAATAAATATTAAACAAGGTGAGTTTTGTTTAGCTGCAGCAAATAGTTGTCTAACACGAGAAGCCCCAAGTCCAACAAAAACCTCTTCAAAACTGCTTCCTGATACATACAAAAAAGGAACCTAGAAAAAGAATAATTAATGCATATTTATGGGATATCAGCGATTACTAACTTTCGAAAACACTCAAAAATTAGCCTGTCTTGTGAATCAAGATGATTATAAATAGGGAGAAAAAAGTAGATTGACCGAAAGCAATGAAATCATGCACCAAATAGATCTATCATACAATTCATGCAGGGCGATGAAACTTGCTTGTAATAGCGCAAATTATTTAATTCAGAACAGTGCTGGATACTGTGATAAGGAAAAACAACGAATTTTACTTTTCGATAATTTCCTCTTCTGCCTACATATATATATATGGATGATTTCATCATGAGCTGTAATCAGTTAGAGAACCACTGGAAAACCTGCAGGGAGTACTGGACAGCTGTTTCGTCCCAGTTTGGGACTCTTCATCAGTACGCGCCCACCGGGATTCGAACCCAGGACCTTCAGGTTACAAGGCGAGCTCGTTGACCATTGAGCCACTGGGACCCGACCCAATGGTCCTTGAATTCTAACTTCTGCCAATTCACGACATAGCGCGCAATGTCTTCTTAGATGAGTTACTGCCTCATCTTCAACCTGCTGTACCCTACTGGTCACGGCTTCCCACTAGAACCCCAGGTTAACTGCCTGAATAGGGCCAGTCACTAGTGAGCATCAGATTAATTTTCAAGTATTGGTTTGGTAGGGATTTTGTTTAATTGCATGGAGGATTTCATCATGAGCTGACATCAGTTAGAGAATCCCGGTGGGCGCGTACTGATGAAGAGTCCCAAACTAGGACGAAACAGCTGTCCAGTACTCTCAGGTTTTCCAGTGGTTCTCTGATGCCAGCTCATGATGAAATCCGCCATGCAATTAAACAAAATCCCTACCAAACCAATACTTGAAAATATATATATATATATATATATATATATATTCAATAGATTGTGCGTCGGTGGTTTAGTGGTAAAATATTCGCCAGCCACGCATGTGGACCAGTGTTTAATCCTCAGCCAATGCACTCTATAGCCTCAATTAACAGGTAGTAAACCTGGTAAAGAGAGGAGATTGGGCATGAGGATAGCAAAACCACCCTGTGTAAAACAAACACCACTGCTACTGAAACTTCAAAGCTCAAGCTTGAATCGCTACATTGCCACTCGAAACGCAAATAAATAAAATAAGCAATAAGTCTAATAGATTATAGTGATTAACAATGAATCCTAGCAAGCGGAAAAAGACAACTGTTCAAATATCTCAATTACTTCAGGAAATCTTGATATTAACTCACCATGAAATTAAAATGAATTTAATTCATAATATGACGGCTTTATGATAAAAAGTTTGGATATCTAAACAATAGCTCTACACAGTTCAGGTGAACTTATTAAAAAGGAATTAGCTGAGAAATAACTGATCAGGTTTTACAGATTTTTAGTGAGTCGCTTATCGATTATCCATGTGGACGTTCTTACTAAGCTTGCATTTCAACTGTCTTTATTGAACCAAGTTAAACTTTTGTTAGGTAACATATTTTAGTAAACTGAGAATGCGGTGAATGATACCTTAAATAGAGAATTTAGATGCCGAATTACCTTTTATTCATCTTTTAAACAGCCATTCTAATAGAGTTATTGACTTCACCACTATTAGGATTCCTAAACTTACTCCTGGGTTAGAACACAACGACATCATTTTTGATCTTTCTGTTTCCTAAAAATTATCCATGGCACTACATAGTGACATACAGATTCTACAAACACAAACGTATAAGTTAATGACGCTGGCCTATTCAAATTGCCTACGAAGTGATTAAACAAAGAGATTTTGTATATAATTAAAAAGATAGGCAGTTTAAGTTTGGAGAATCTATTGGAATATGCATTTAGACATACTTGTGCTTCACCAGAAACAGCCTTAGCAAGCAACGTCTTTCCAACTCCTGGAGGGCCAACCAAAAGAACACCTTTGGGAAGTTTCGCTCCTATGCGGTTGAACTTTTCTGGATTGCGTAGGAATTCCACTATGTCCTGGAGCTCCTTTTTCACTTCATCGCACTAAACTGTTATCTATTTCGAGTGGAACTTACGCCTTGGACGTCATTGAAGTTCACATCAGCATTTTCTGCGAAAGATGCCACGCTAGGGTCTAGCATCTTAGGAAATGCGCCTAGGATTCAATTAGATACTTAGTATTAACAGGAAAAGAGATTACCACCAAATACTTTGTTTGACAACTTGATGACAAAATATACACATACTCCAATAATAGCGAATTTGCCAAGGAGTGTTGCGACTGTTTCGATTTTCTTTGACGCTTTTTCTTTCTCAGTTGATGACTGGAACCCTTTGCGATAAGCATCTACAAGCCTGAGTTGCACTGAAGGCGGCTGATCCTTCAAAATATCATTGAGGTCTGTCTGGACTTTTGATGATTCAGAGTCACGCTGAGCGCTTTTTCTTGTATCAATGATAAATGAGGAATATGGTGAGTTTGACTGCCTATTTTTCGTGACAAATAACCGAGCATGATTACTCAGTATCTTAAAATGTGATGGAGACAAATAGACCAGGCGAGGACGGAGTAATCCTGGACTACTTATGCAACTACTCCTGATAATTCGACAGCACGGACTAACAATCATAGACGACCTCGATTATCGAACGAAATTCCCACCGTAAGACCCTCAAGGACACGACCTATCCAATATTCAATATCGTTTTTACAAGCTAGTGTAAACCAACCTGATTTCTCTGTGCTCTCTACTTGTTCGTGAATTAAAGGTTCTTGGCCTCCGGTAAACTTCTGCGTAGTTCGTCCCGCCACTTGACTGTCGTAGCTTTGGTTGACCCCAAAAGGTGTCGTGCTGGGACTAACTATATGTAGTTTGTAGTATGTGGTGAGTTGAGACTATGTTGCTACTGTGAATGGAGTTGATTCTTTCACCAGTTAGCCATCCAGTATCGTCGACAAAAGAAATGAGGTAATAATAGTAACGGATATAATTAGTGTAGGTCACATGGGCACGAACGTTGAAAAGGGAGCACATTTTACACACTCTTGTTTAATTTCGGATCTGTTTGTGTTATACGCTCCAAAAATCTCTAAATTAACTTTAAATTTGTTTATTCTGATCGAGGTTAGTTTACGTTTCAGTTTTGAGTCTATTGCATAATAGGAACTTGTGTTCTTATAACTTTATAGTTAAATATATACATTTTTCTGCACCCATTGGTTTTTTATCGCCCATTTATAAAGGTCATAGGTATAAATTCGTATTTGAATCTTTTTGTCCCAATTCACTCTAAAAGGCGTGTCTGTCAAAAAGAACCGCTGTGGAAGAGTTATGTGCCAATTTCCAGTTGGAGAAGGAATGCAGTGTGATGACTCGCAAGAGATGGTTTCATGGCATGTACACAAACCTATCTCCTGCAGCATAGAAGCGCTGCTGCAAACCTCTGGAAAACTTGCTGTGCAATGACTGCCATAGCTCGACTTAGGTTCATACAAAGGAAGCATTGCCACTGTCAGTGAGGCTCTAAAACTACTGGACTGCAAGAGTCCTCCACCAAGAGAAGAGCGACTAGATCCCATACACCGACAAAACAATACACGTTCCTGATGCGTCTCTGTCAGAGAGTGAATGCCCTTCAGCGCAGAAGAGCGCCCACCATATTCCAAACACCTACGCAGCCCCTACGATACTCGATAAGCTCTCGAGCAAACGGTAATAGAAAGACTGGCACGAAGAAGAGGCGTACCAGGGGGAATACCCGCAGCTCAAGAAGCCCAGGGACTTGTAGATCAAGCATCATTCACACCGGTGAATTGCAGGCAGATACGATCGAAAACAGATAGCGAGGAGGACGCCAATGGATGGCGTAATGTAGTTTCTCGCAAAAAGCTAAATAAGGACAACATAATGGCCACAATGTCCACGAAGGATGGAAAGACATTTACGCCGCAGAGCAAGAAAACCACGGCAAGCAAACCCGATATCTCTGACAGGTCAGTCATTCTCCACAAAGTGGAAAATCACCGCCTTCTGATCCCAAGGTCAGTTTTGAGAATGACCTTGACTTGGTCAAACCCGTTTTAGATAACCTACTGCGAACAACAGTATCAGGCATACACTAAATTAGCCTGTACGCCATCTCAAAGTCGTACTAAACTCCAAAGAAGAGAGGGATGTCATTCTAAGCAACTTCCAAACTCTTGAAGGATAAGGCATATATGTCCGTGCCGACTTATGCCTAGCAGACCGCGTCAAAACACAATCTGCGACCCTAGAATTAAGCGAACGACGCCGAAACGGCGAAAAAACCTTAAGAATAAAGGTTTTCGGTTTGTCAAAGTTCGAAGTTTGATGATCCCTAAGCTCCTGTGGGTAGGCCTCAGAAGAACCAAACTGAATTGACAGTTTGCTACACAAACGCCCGCAGCCTGTTGAACAAGCGGTCTGAGTTGGCTAACATGGAGGGCTCCGGAAATCCAGATGTAATTATCATCACAGAGACATGGCTCACACCCGATGTCACTGACAGCGAAGTTAACCTGCCAAACTTCAAAGTGCATAGGGTGAACCGACTAAACCGTAAAGGAGGTGGCGCAGTCATCCACATCAAGAAAAGTCTAACCTTGCGTAGCATTGGACCACTCGCTCACGAAAGTGAATCATGCGAATTTCTACGCTGCAGACTTAAATGCTAGGCAAGGTATTGACCTCATCGCGATATACCGCAGTCCTGAATGCAGTGCAGACAACTTCTTGGTAGAGAAGTTAGGCTCCTAGACATCGAAATGTCGAAGTTTCATGTTCTGCGACTTCAGCGCGTCAACAGTTGCCTGGACAAGCCTCACAGTGTCATCTTCAGGTAACTCCTTTGATTATAAACTGCTGGAATCTAGTAAATTGCTAGGCCTAGTCAAGGACATCACGAAGTTCACGCGCTGTCTCACAGCACTCCTCTCCAACACGGACCTGGTGTTCTCCCGCGGTGAGGATGTGGATCTCATAAACCTTCCTCATTTAGGAGCAGGTGATATATATTTATTCCTGTTTATGCAGGAACATACCAATTGTACAGGCATGGATAAGTTATTATATAAATTACAGTTTGTTTGTTCAATCTAACATTAGAGTCAGTCAGAACAGTCTGCAAAATAGTCTGTCTGTGTAACACATAAAGAGATATAGAAATGTTGTCTTCGCATTAACAAAAAACCCAGACTTCAGATGAATGTGATACAAATATCTGGGAAAAATAAAGCTTGAAGTCAATTCTCCTATAAAACTTTGTTGTGAACAGCATCCATGAGATAAAGTTTATTGATGTATTATTTTGAGTCAATAATGTATTTATTCCATTTTTGTCAGCAGTCTTATCGTAGTTTTATAATAGGAAAGAAATTTGATCTTTGATACGAAAATTAGATAAGGTAATGTTAGATTGTTTTACTGCATCAAATGGGGTCAATTCTAGAACTATCCATTTGCGCCATTTGCGTCAGCATGGCAGACTGTACATGTAAGTTGAGTAATACATTGAAAACTGTTTGAAAACCAGTTGTTTCTTTATGTCAGATCAAGAATACTCCTTGTACAGAATGTTGGCTAGCGTTTTCAAGTGGTTGCAACGGATCGTTCATGGAATTTGAGTTTGAATTTACTTAAATGGTCATTTCAGTTTAGATGATGGGTTGTTCGACCTCGACCAGGAGGTATATAGAAGTGCAGGCTCAGGATATAATAACAGAAAGAGAAAGTATGTAAACATGAACAGGACGTTAATATTTTATGTATATATAAATGTTTATAAATGTATATCATTGTATAGTAAACACTACCTCTAATCTAGTTGTTCTTTCATGTATTTTTGCGAAGTCTTAAAGTTTATTTAGTGTCATAATATTTAGTAATGAGTCTAGGCGTTATAGTGTTCTAATAGCTCATGCGTTTTAGAAATAAGTGGTGCGGTGTGATTGGCATAGTCATTAGGACGAAGCAGTTCATATAGCAAGCGTTTGAAGGTTATGATAGAGTGACAGGTCCTTATTTCTAGGGGTAAACTGTTCCAGATCTTAGAGTACATGACTATGAAGAAGTTTGCACGGAGTGTTGTCTTGCAGTTTTTCCCAGATACTGTGCACGTTTGGTTACGAAGATTGTAAGAGCCTTCCGGTGAGAACTGTATCTCCTTACTGTCTGAGAATGATATTTTATGCAATATTTTAAAGAAAAATATTAGGTTAATGCTCAGTCGTCTCATCCAGAGTTGGTCGATACCTAGAGTTATACACCTTGATGTGTAGTCCTTTTCGCAGTCAAATCCTAGTAGTTTAGACGTGAAGTATCGTTGGACACTTTCTATTTTAAGTTTGTCACTTACGCGAGTGCTGCTGAGAATAAATGGACAATATTCAAGTAGTGGTCTGACACAAGTTTTATATAATAATAGTTTTGCTTCGAAGCTGTGGAAATTCCTGAGTATGCATCCTAAGAACATCCTCGATTTACGCGTCTGTGCCGCCACTTGCTCAGAAAATGTCAAGTCACTAGAGTACCTGAGTCCTAGGTCAACAACACTTTGGAGTTTAGGCAAGTCGATAGATTCAAGTACCAGTTTAATATTTATTGAGGGTGCACCGAAGCATATCCAACCACATTTTTTAAGGTTGAATTTTAGGTTCCATGTGGAGGACCATGCAGTTACTCGATCTAGTTCTTCCTGAACAGCTTTCTGAAAGTACCCCAAGTCATCACAGTGGAATGTGTAAGCTACTTTAAGATCATCTGCAAAGATGAATGGTTCACCAAGTGAGAAACAGCTGCATATGTCGTTGACATATAGAGTGAATAGGATGGGGCCTAAGACGCTACCTTGAACTACTCCAGAAGTGACTGGACTAGGTTTAGAGTTTACAGAACCCAGTCTAACTACTTGGGACCTATTGTTAAGGAATGATTCAATCCATCCTAATAATGGGTTACTTATTCCTAAGGAGTTTAGCTTATTTATTAGAAGCAAATGGTCAACGCGGTCAAAGGCTTTGGAGATGTCGAAGTAGATGACAAGTACTAGTTGTTGTCACGGCTGCTAGTTATGTAGTTAAAGAAGTCAAGGTGATATGTCATGCATGATCTGGATTTTAGGAATCCATGTTGGTTTGGACTTAGAATATTGCAGCTGAGCATATGTTTGAGGATATCATCTTTAACTATTCGTTCAATGATTCTAGATACTATGGGTGTAATATTGATTGGCCTATAGTTGTTGACTTCAGTTTTTGATCCGGATTTGTGTTTAGGTACTATAAATGTCGTTTTCCATTTATCTGGATAGGTTTGGCTTTCTAGGGACATTGTAAAAATCTTAAGTAATAAAACGGAAATGTCAGAACCACCGTGTTTATAAAGATACGATGGTATACCATCAAAACCGGCACTACTAGAGCTTTTAAGAGTATTAACGGCTTGGTTAATATTAGAGTAAGTGAAATGAACTGTAGTGATTTGTTTCAGCGTTGAAGATGAAGGGAGTTCTATTTTAGATTGTAAACCGAGAAGTGGACTTGTAGGCTTAAGGTAGTTAGCTGCAAACGTCTCATTAAACAGTTCACACATATCTGCATGTTTGCTGTATAGTTTGCCCTTGTTTATAAGGAGAGAAATTTTATGGCTTTGGCGATTCATTCGTTTCTTTAGTATTTCTGTGAGAGCACCT